TTTTTTTTTTTTTTTTTTTGTTGTTGTGATGGTGGTGGAAACTTTACTTGTTAATGTTATACTGGTTTTGTTCTTATAGCGTTTTTGTTGGTATTAGTATATTCCTGTCAATGGCAGTTTTCTAGTTTCTCCCATCCTTTCTTGTAAAAGTTCTTTGTTTTCTTTCTTATACTTTGCCTCTTTTCTTCGATTGAATTGCTGTATATGGTGATATTATTGCCAACCAGAAACCATGGATAACAAATTTCTCTATTTTTTCATCACACCATTCAAAGCATGATGTGGCAAGGACCACAGACAATCATGTGAAGCAATCATGAAATTCGGTGGACAGAATGTAAGGGGAGATTATCAAAGTTAGGTCATGATAAGATGGGAAGTGGAAACACATGCATATAGGAGCTTGTAGTGCCTATTTTCATCCTTGTGGAATTTCCTTTTCTTTTGAAGTTTCACCAAATTCCTCTACTTTGAGAAAATCCACATGGATCTGTGAGCTCTGTTTTGTTTTTGTCTAGCTGGCTTTGGTATGAAATCACTGCTGATAACTTTTAAACAGACACGTGTCTTGTTCATGTCTGGAGTCCATATGTGTTGTATTGGCAAATGCAGTGTGCTTATCTAACCAGTTCAATGACTATTTGATTAAACTTGATTTTGTCGAAAAGCGTGCTGTCATCTCTGGGGTGGATCTATTAAATTTTGGCACCATATAGACATGTACTTCTGTAGTTGTTCAAACCTGTCTTCTTTTTTTCTGTCTTGAATTACTTATTCCTGATATCTCAAGAACCAACTAGTTCACTGGAATAATAGAGGAAAAATGTAATTAATCATTTGGCTAACTTGTCCTCAAGTTGAATCCTGTAAATTTATAAATAAAAGTCAACTGTTGCTGTTTTGATTTGGGGTTTTGATTTCTGTACTCCTTTTCTTGGATTGTTTTGCATACATCCAGATTGTTAAACACTGACATCTGAAAGAAGTTATAATTATTGATAGAATAAGGTTAGAATTTACCTATCATAAGATAATTAATCACCTTTTTTTTTTAATTGATTTAGCTGGATTGCATTGTTTAAGGCTGCCTACTAAATTTTCTGTCATTTTTTCAGGTGTGCCTTCATTAGATGTTATGCCTTGGAGTAGTTGAAACTGTAAAGCTATCCAGGTGCTGCTTTATTCCTTGACGGTTCTTGAAAGTTTCTAAGGAGTTCATCTTCAATAATCTATAGTGCCCTTTACCAAAACCAGGGAATGCTGAAAGATGTGGTTGAAAGTAAAGAGTTCCCTCTGTCAGGTTAATGAGGTTGTAGCTCCATCCGAGCTATCCTTGTTAATCCTTGTTGGGATTGGATATTTAAACCACTGCCAACATCAATTTTATGCTCATGTGCCTGAGGTGGCTGGAAATCTATGCAATTATGTGATGTCAAAACATTATGTTTGTGAAGATGGCTGAGCTTTGAGCATCTTACGTAAGCACGAGTATTTACTATTTGTATATACTTAGTATATTATACAATTGACAGTAGTGTTGGTTGTACGCAAAAAGTGTTAAAAAAATGGATCAGAAGGGAAGTGTGCTTATGCAAAGATATGAGCTTGGGAAATTATTAGGTCAAGGAACCTTTGCAAAGGTCTACCATGCTAGGAACCTTATAACTGGCATGAGTGTGGCCATTAAGATAGTTGATAAAGAAAAGGTTTTGAAAGTTGGAATGGTAGATCAGATTAAGCGTGAAATTTCTGTGATGAGATTAATCAGACATCCACATGTGGTTGAGCTTTATGAGGTAATTGCCAGTAAAACCAAAATTTACATTGTCATGGAGTATGCAAAAGGTGGTGAGCTCTTTAACAAGGTAGTCAAAGGAAGGCTCAAGGTGGATGTTGCTAGGAAATATTTTCAGCAACTGATCAGTGCAGTTGACTACTGCCACAGCCGGGGGGTGTGTCATCGAGATTTAAAGCCCGAAAATCTACTGTTGGATGAAAATGAGAATTTGAAGGTTTCAGATTTTGGGTTGAGTGCCCTTACTGAATCTAAGAGGCAAGATGGTTTGCTCCATACTACATGTGGAACCCCTGCCTATGTTGCTCCAGAAGTAATAAACAGAAAGGGTTATGATGGGATGAAAGCTGATATATGGTCATGTGGGGTAATCTTGTTTGTTCTATTGGCTGGTCATCTTCCATTCCATGACTCAAATCTGATGGAGATGTACAGGAAAATTGGTAAAGGGGAATTCAAATTTCCTAAATGGTTTGCACCCGATGTTCGCCGGTTATTGTCCAGAATACTTGATACAAATCCAAGGACCAGGATATCAATGGCCAAGATTATGGAAAGTTCTTGGTTTAAAAAGGGGTTGCAGAAGCCTACTATAATTGCAACTGAAAACGAAGAACTAGCCACTCTGGATGCTGCTGATGGAGTATTTGAAGCTTGTGAGAATGGAGGTCCTATTGCCGAGCCAAAGCAAGAACAGGCCAAGCCTAGTAACTTAAATGCTTTTGATATTATCTCCTTCTCAACTGGTTTTGATCTATCTGGTTTGTTTGAGGACACTGTTCTCAAGAAAGAGATGCGATTTACGTCGAAGAAGCCGGCCTCAGTCATAATCTCAAAGTTGGAAGAAATTTGTAAGCGGCTTCGGTTGAGAGTAAGGAAGAAAGATGGAGGTTTGTTCAAGTTGGAAGGTTCCAAGGAAGGCAGGAAAGGGTTTTTGGGTGTTGATGCTGAGATCTTTGAGATCACACCACACTTCCATATGGTGGAACTTAGAAAGTGCAATGGGGATACCATGGAGTACCAGAAGCTTTTCAAACAGGATATTAGACCAGCACTTCAAGACATTGTTTGGACCTGGCAAGGAGAACAACCACAGCAACATGAAGTAGTCCAGGAAGAAGACCAGCAGCAGCAGCAGCAGCCTACCCATACTGCTTAGTGCATGTTTGAAACCAAATTTGCAATGCGGATCATCACTCTCTTTTTATGTTCCAACAGAAACAACAAAAAGTAACTTCTGCATCAATTGAACCTATTGACGTGATTTTATGATGTTGGTTCAAACACTCTTAGTTCATGATCCACATTGCATCACTTGGTTGTTTTATGCTCTGTGCTTCTTTTGTCATTGTCTTGGTTAAGTACTTAATTTGATGGGATTCATAGAATAATGTGGTTGGTTCAGTCTCCTCTTGTTTGATGGATACTTGAATTTAAACCTTGTGTACCTAAATTGCAAATTTGCCCAAATGGGTCTTTTATTCCATCCTTTTAGATCATTCTTAATATTTAGTTTGCTTTATATTGCTTCACATGTTTTGAACCGGCATTTGCATTTTGAAGATTGCTTTATATCTGTTTATGTAATGTTCTTAAATTTTTTGTTTCCTATACCCATTTCCTATGAGTTGATTTGGTCAAGTTCTGCCTTATTATATTATGCATTTATTTTATTTAAAAGGGGATTCTGAAACGCGATTGGGTGGAAATTAAAAATTGACAATATGCATTATTTTTTGACTTTTATTGGCCAATTAGTTCACGCATGTTTGTTTGTGCTTCTGATTGGCAATGGACGTGGAAGCTACAACTTGTATTGTAGATAAGCTTAACGCGCATAGTGATCATGTGACGTAAAATCTAACACGCCACATTAATTGCTTCATTGGGATATTGTTGAATAACCAGTAATTATCAAGTAATTTTGTTAATTCAACTTGTGTGGTTATCTGTCATAAAAAAAAGACATTAAACTTACACTGCTTGAAGCTTATTTTTTATTTTTAAAACTTGATACTCCTTTCTGTGAATTGATACTACCTCCGGTCATCTTCTTCTTCTTCTTTTTTGTTTTTCTTTTATTTTTTTATAAGTAATAAATTATAGTGTAAAATATATTATAACTTGTTTCTTATAAAAGGATCAGATGTAGTATTAAGTTATTTTGGCCTTAAATTTACGTGGTGAAATTTAACAAAATTTACATTGCTTGAATTTAATATTATATTTCTTAATGTGAGATTTCATAATCTTGATAGAATCAAAATAATGTATATAAGTATAGAAAATTTATCTTTTAGGCTAGTTTTTTTTAGGTTGAGTTAGATTCAAAATTTTGGATTGATTATTTGTGTGAAATAAAGTTAATGATACTTAATAATGCGATGTTGGAAGGAGAATATTTACTTTATGTATGTTTACTAATCTTTGATAGAGATTAGTTACCACTTTTGATAGTGGAGAATTCATACCAGTAGTATAGTTACAAAAAAAAATATCAATTTGTGATATGTGATTTCTAAAGTTTGTATTGAACTCTAAAATAATTGTCAATTTTGAAATATTAATATTAGAGATTATCAATTATGATTTTAACTTTTAGAAAGGTGAAAATTTAAAAAAAAATATAAAAGCTAAAATTAAAATTAACTTTTTTTACAAAAATTAAATAATAATTCAAAATTTCAAAAGATGAAAGTTAAATAATTTTTTGATAAAAGAATATGCTCTTCTTTTTTACACTTATTACTTGGTGAAATTTTCATTCATTTATTAAATGATATGATTACCATTAGAGTCTGTCTATTAAGTGACAATCACTACTAGAATAAATCTGATGAGAAATTAAAATAATATGTATAAAATTTTAAATTCAAATTCAATTATTGACACTGCAATTCCTGCTAATAAAAAAAAGAGGTATATATATAATGAACCTGCATATTTTCCCCTGATTTAGCCCACAAACAATTCAAAGATACTACACGGACACAAATCATTCAGGTCCTGTATTAATTATGTAAACTAATTGCTGTGTATGGGATGTACACTTATACTTTTGAATTATAAAAAATAAATAAAAATATTTTAGATATTATATTAAAAAAATTAAATTTATTTTATTTCCCTTTAAATCTCTCCAATAGTAAAACAAACAAAAAGTTATTCTTTCTCTTCCATTTTCCTTCAACAAAAAATTATGTTAAATATATATTGAACTTTAATCTTAAAATAAAAATAATAGATTAAAATAAATAAAATATTAAGAAAGAGAGTCTAATATTCATGGACTATCAATACCAAAAATTACAGTTATAAATTAAAAAAAAATTCATTGGTGCGATTTTTAAGATATTTATTATAAAAGTTAACAAATTTGTTATACAAGACAATTTGTAGGTTAAATTGCAATTTTAGTTTTTCTAATTTTGTTTATCTATAATTTTGGTTGAAATAAAAAATATTTAGTCCTTTTATTTATAAAAATATAAAATTTTGGTTTTATCATTAATTTGAAGTTCATTAATTATTAAATTTTGTTGTTGTCAAGTGATATATTATCACTTAAATGACGTGATATTTAGTATCGTGATATATAAAAATAAAAATTAAAAATAATACAAAAATTTTTTAATTGTATATATTTTAATGAGTGATAAGTATTTATTTTATTAATAAATATTATTTACATGATTTCTTTTAGTTTTTTTTTTAATTTTTAATTGTTATGTTACTAAATATCACATTACTTAAGTATGAGTGTACGTTAAAATTTAATAATTAATAAATGTCAATTTTTTAGAAAATTAAAATTTTATATTTTTAAAATTAAGTAAATTAAATGTCACTATTTTAAAATAAAGGTACTAAAATTGCATATTGATAAAAATAAAGAGATTAAAAGTACAATTTAACCTAATTTATAATTAGATGAAAGTGTAAATTTGTTTAAAAATATTTTACATTTTTTGCATAACTTTTTCTTCTCTTAATTTTTTCATTAGATAATGATTCCTAAAAGTAATACAGTTCAAAATAAATTTTTTGGCTAAGATATTATTAAGATATTTTTTTATAACCTCTTATCTTTAATAATATATATATATATATATTATTTTTAAAATATGTACTAATATTATTATTTTAATAAAAAATACACATGTCATTTTTATTTTTAAAATTGAAGTTAATATTATTTTAAAAATTATCTATAATTTAACATATATCAAATTAGAATAGTTATTTCAAACTATTTTTCTTGTACAGAAGTTTCTTTGAGATTTTTTCATGATCCCTTATCTTTAATAATGTATATCATTTTCATTTATTTAAATTAAATTTAACATTATGTTAAAATAAGTTATTAATGTAATGATTTAGTTAGTCATTATACTTACTACGACTCAAATACTACATAGTTGAAGTCTAAACAACATACATTATAATTTGGGTTTATCATACAATTAGTAACTAGTATCATGTACATACAAGCTATATACAAATATAGTATTTAGTGCAACATAAATATAAGCATTAGTGGATGTCTATACAAGACCTGACTACATTAGTGTAGCCATACATAAAACCTAGGCACCTCTAGCGTGATTAATCACCAAATACACAAGTCATCTTGTTAATCATGTTCTGCTCTCATGTCAAATATAATCATTACAATTTCAATCACAAGGAAAACAAAAGATAAACTTGTGAAAAGAACTCAACATAATATCAAAATTTAACAATGCGCATCAGTACAACATAATCAACATATAAACCACACCATCACATCAAAATATAACAACTCACAACATGACAACAATCTCAACACAACAACTTAATCAATATCAACACATTCAACACAACAACATATTTATTACATTTGATGCGTCATCACACATATCAACTACTAAGATCTCCTATAACACAGTGAACAATTTAAGTAATTAGACACTAACAAACTACAACATATGACCTATCTTAACCAAGTCAACTAACAACTCAATTTGATTTCTCAATTTTACCATTTAAACTAGGAAGTCTAGTACTATTATAAGGGTAGAACAGGTTGGATATGAGTTTACCACAACATTAGCTTCCATCATTAAAAGTTACTTATGAGATTAGCCTACCGGCTATCCTCTAAGTACTTCGATCAACATAGTATTTTTGCCTATTCTAGGCAGTCTTCATCTGCTACACCTCTTTAATTGTTTGTAGAACTAACTTTGACCTAACAACAACTGACTCACCTTCCTTTTACTAATACATACAAGTCTTGCATCTTTTCTTATACATCATCTCAAAAGGAGTCATGTCAATGCTTACATGAAAATCGTTGTTATATATGAACTCTACCAAAGATAATACTTTTTAATAACTTACAATTTTATAAAAACACATTTTATATTATATGTCAATTTTGTATATATTTAAAGTAAATTTAGAAAAATTTAAACATTTTTTTATTTAAATTTATTAGATTTTGAACCGTGACAAGTGTGATGATTGATAGGTATATAATTATGAAAAAAGTTATATCCTCCGACTAATTAAAAAGTTTATTTTTCTCTTTAATTAAAATTTATATCTTATAATTAAAAAAATTATAAACGTCACTCATAATTAATTGGGACGTGGTTGGGGTCAAAATTTGGGAGGATGTATGATTGGTATACATGACACATTTTTCACGTTGTGATTCCCCCGTAGGCTGTGTGGATGAAAGGGCAGTATGGGCAGCTACAAATTCCCTGAAGCTGACAGATCTATCTTACTTACCCTCTTCTTTCTCTCTCCTTCTCTGTCTCTCTCTCAATCTCTTCATTTCGCAACACAATCCAACCCTTTTTAAACTCTCCCATTCGAATTCTCGCACCAAATCTTCTACACATCTTCTCATCTCAACTCAACTCAACTCAACAATCTCTCAGATCTCTCTATCAAAAACAAAAACAAAAACAAAATCAAAAACCCTAGTTCTATATACATATACACAGAAAAAAAAAGGTCTGATGCCCATAACAATCTTCTCAATAAGATCTAACTCGTCACACACGGATTACCCAACAATTTATTGTTAATATTTTTAATCTGATCGTGGGAAAATTTTCGTGCCCTTTTATTGTTTTTACATTTTTTTGCCTAAAATAAGAATTTTGTGTGCGTATAAAATCTTCCAAGATCTGGGTTCTTTTAAAGGCGGTTCTTTTGTGTATTTTGTTACTTTTTATAAGGAAGAATGAGGGTTTTGGTGCTGATTATTGTGGAACATGGTGGTTTCTGTTGGTGGACAGCTTTGTGTCTGTGGGGTGTGGCTGGTTTTGAGGCATAGCATAAAGATTAAAGAGTGAGGTTCAATTGGGTTGATTATTCATGGCCGATCAAGCATTGGAAGCTAGCCAACCTGTGGATTTAACAAAGCACCCTTCTGGGATTGTGCCTACCCTTCAGTGAGTATCACTGTTCTTTGATGTGAATGCTTCTTTGGATTGCAATTGCAAGCATGAGATGAGTAACTGTGTTGTATGCAATGTGGTTTAGTTGCTTCACATGAGTGGTATGAGAATTTGAGTTGTGGCCTGTGGGTCATTTCTCATGAATATAAAAAAAGTGTTATATCCAAATCCAAGTGAACCCCCATGTATGATATTGAGGTTACAACTTGCAAAGATGATAAACTTAACTCTTTTTCTGATAGGGTATCGTACTGTATACTGTTATCCGAATTCACCTTGTGGTTTTATGTGGGGTGGATCATGTGGGTTTACCAGTATTTGGGGTTAAAGATGCTTGCTTAGTCAATGTACCATATACTCGTATTCCAATAGCAACTATTGCTTCAAAACAGAAACTTATGCTTGAGATTATCTGTAAATGGTCTGTCCTGTTTTCTGTATTTGTCAGAGCATTCAAATTCATATTTGATATGTTGTGGTATTCTTTTCAGCTATCAGAACTAAGTGAATGAGATTTGAGGGGCTTGGGGGTTAAACTCTAATGTGGAATTTCTTGTAGTGAATTCCAAGATTTTTCTATGACTAGCTCAAAATTTATGCTGAATGTGCTCGTTATGTATATTTTATATTAATTACCTAGACTTGATAATGATTGATTATATTTGCGTTGGAATATCTAAAAGGTTTCTATTTGTTCTGCCAGAAATATTGTGTCAACCGTCAATTTGGACTGTAAATTGGAGCTTAAATCAATTGCACTTCAAGCTCGTAATGCAGAATACAATCCTAAGGCAAGTCTTGATTGTTGATGGTGAATAGCTCCCATCTTGTGTGTGTGTGTGTGCACGTGTACATTTTGTTGTTATTTGCATTGCAATTTCAGTGAGATTGGCTTGGTTTCTGTTCAGTTGTGGAGTTTGTCTGTTGCTTCTAAAAAATTTCAGTGTTTCTATTTGTTCTAGTGAGGCTAGGTTGATCTGTGATTTTTCTATAAAAGTTACTATTGATTTCGAACCGCTTATCCACTGCATTTTTGTTATCTGAAATCAATAATTAACTTGCATGCTAGAGATATGTCTTTATACAGATTGGTCATTTGTCTGCAGGGCTAATGTTTGTGATTGAATCTTTGCAGCGTTTTGCTGCTGTGATTATGAGGATCAGGGAACCAAAAACTACTGCACTCATTTTTGCATCTGGCAAGATGGTCAGTTTTTTGTCCTGCATCTTTTACTTCTGTCCAGTTTAGTTGGAAATGCCATAAACTCACATGATTCTGCAACTAATTGATTCAGACTGGTTGGTGTTTTGCATATAAAGAAGTATATAAAGAAACTGTTCTATTTATATACATATTTTTGCGATTCCCAATTTGACAACCATTTTTTTGTTGTAGTTTATTTTATTGTTGTTTTCATTTTTGTCTCAAAAAAACGTACAGGTGAAGTTGTACAATAATTTATAGTTAACTACGCTGATGGCAGATATGATTAGTGGACAAGAATTTGGACACTAGTGCCAATTTAAATGCTATATTTATACAATTCAGATTTGTCCATTTTCCACCAGTTTACCGTTATAGGTGTAGAATTAACATTAGGATTCCTCCCCCTTTTTGGAAGTGCTTCTATTCCTTCTCATGCAACAACAAATTGATTAAGCATGTTGCTTTGCTTGCTTGTGACGTGTTTCTATTTCTTATGCCTTTTTTTTTCTTCTTAATTTAATTGGCATGGTTAGGTCTGTACTGGAGCTAAGAGTGAGCAACAGTCTAAATTGGCTGCAAGGAAGGTATGCTAATGGTCCCCCCTCCTGGGCCTCCCTTATACTGTATATATATTATTGAAAACTTTCAAGTTGTGGTTGATTAACTGGAGAACCTTTCCATCAATGTTAGCTAGGTTTGCAGCCTATTCATCCTGTAGTTTATAGAAAAATAAGCTTCTTTAAAACATTGGAGGGGGATGGTTTTGTTGTTCTCTTCACTCATGTATAAGCATGATCCACACATTTATTCTTGAAAATTTATTGCATTTTTTTTACTTGTTTTCTCCCTTTTCAGTATGCTAGAATTATCCAAAAGCTTGGTTTCCCTGCTAAATTTAAGGTACTACATCTACTCCAAAAATTTCAGTTGTTTTCAAACTACAGAAATAGTGTGTGATCATTGATTTATTCTTTTTATTGCAATTTAGGATTTTAAGATTCAGAATATTGTTGGCTCTTGTGATGTCAAGTTTCCCATTCGGCTTGAGGGTCTTGCCTATTCCCATAGTGCTTTTTCAAGTGTAAGTGTGAAATGTCATAATCTTCTGTTTTTCCTGGTGAATTTGTGGAAATATGATCTTGATTATTTAGTCTTGACAAATTCTTGTTCTAGTAATCAGTACTGTATATGCCCTCATTACATGAGTTTATTCTATAGGATGTTGTACATGATTTGATGAATTTTCTTTCTTTTCTTTTGATTTATATTGCTTATATATTCTTCTAGTGAGTCTAATTTGAAAAATGGTTATCATTGCCCAATTGTTGTTTGGCATCTTGCTGTTTGGTATCATATTACATAATTTCTATGTTGTTTCAATTATATACCCGATGTGTGGTGTCAAATATGCTATTTTTCTTTATTATGCTTCATACACATATGTTACTTAATACTTATAGGTTTTTTAATATTATTTTTATATTAGGTAAACTTTTATGAGTTTACAAAGCTCTACTAGTTTACATAAATTCTCGAGTTTGACAATCTTCGTGTAAACATTATGGAAAACATGGATTAACTAGTATGAATGCAAAACAATTCTTGATTTCCATGACAGCCATGTTGAAGATCTCACATTAATTAATGATATGACTAAAGTGATGTATATAAGTGAGAAAGCAACTCTAACCTGACTAGACGGTGTTACACTGAAACTCACATTCTAGCAATTGTGGTTGGGTCTCGCTATCAAGTTGTTATCGAACTATCTACAAATGCTCAATCTTGTAAATTTTATGTGAAGAGTGTGTATTGAAGATTCTGTATCCTGCAAACTAGTAATATGACCAAAGTAGTATATATATGACCCCGACCCCAAGTAGTTGATGTGGGATCTCTAACAAACCAAACAACCACATAACTTTTTTTTTTTTTTTTTAATTAAGTAGAAGTTGTGTTTGACCTATGATATCCATTGCCAATTGCATTTTGCAGATACTTATGTTTTGAAAGTTTTTGAAGTTTTTATAATTAGAACAGGAAGAACGGAGTGTGGAAGTATGTTTAGGTCATGATGCTTGTGTGGTTAAGGGGTGTAGATGATGCAAAGAACCATTTTCAGTTGTTTGTGCCTTTCTGCATGTGCAGTTGGTTACCTACTTTCTTGCTATATACTATATGTTTAGCGAATGAACATATGTTGAACTTGCTTGTTCTTGTTGGCAGTATGAACCAGAGCTGTTTCCAGGACTAATATATCGCATGAAACAACCCAAGATAGTCTTGCTTATATTTGTCTCTGGAAAAATTGTCCTGACAGGCGCCAAGGTATCGTGTTTGGGATGTTCCCTTGTAATTTTATATTTCACCATTTTCGCAGCTGATTCAACTACTTATTTTTTTTTTTTGTTTTTTCATTTTCATTTCTTTAGGTTAGAGATGAGACTTACACAGCCTTTGAGAACATATATCCCGTGCTTACTGAGTTCAGGAAAAACCAACAATGGTATGGAAGTGGCTCTTTTTCAATTGGTATAGGATATACATGTCCTAATCCCTGGATTAGGAATATAACAAATCAATATCATTGTCTCTATTATTTTGTTTTCTTCCATCAGCTATAAGATTATAATTCCATCAAATATAGGGCTAAGGTTTTCCTTATTAAGGACGGATTGCCTCATGCAGATTTTGTTCTGGATCCTATATTTGTAGAAGTGCTTATGTTACATGTGATGTAACTACAAGTATAAACTGAGCATTTTCTTCTTGTGTTTGGAGGCACTTAGTTTGACTGATATTGAGTGTCATGAAATGCATATCTTATTGTGAGTTCTGATATCTTTGAATATTTGCTATTAATGGCAGATTACTGTCAAGAGAAGAAGCAAGGTTTTCTGGCAGAGAAGATCACAGAGCGCCGGAGCTGTAAATATTAAGACAAGAGATATCTGTAATCTGGATTGAGATATACTAAGACAGTCGGTTTCTTTAGAAAAGGGGTCTTGCTGTAGTGAAGTGAAAAAATTAATATAAAACTGTGTATTGAATTTGACACAAAAAAAAGAAAAAGATTTTGAAGAGGCAGAGTAGAAAAATGAAAAAGGATTAGTGGAAGAGTTTGATGGTAAACAATCCTTCTGCTGTTTGCCATCATCCAAAATTCTAATCTTGTACGGTATAGAGTCAATATGTTTTCTTATACGACTGCTGAATGTTTTGAACAATGAATCAAAACATAAAGCTGTCGAAATTACATGAATTTGAAGAATTTTATCTGCCTTTCCTAACTTCAAAATGTTGGGGTTTAGAAGAACTGCATAACGTGATGTAGTTAGTGACTAGTAAGCAAGATCTCTCTGCATTACTGCAATGTAAATCATTAATATCTTTTAGTAAACTGAAAGTAATAGTAAGAATTAAGTTGCGTTTGCTGTGTAGTACTTGAAACTTAAATTGGAGTTTATAGTAACTTAATGCGTGGCAACATGTTAAATGTTCAAAGGTATTTAAAATTCTAGATGATTTTGATTGGCAACATGTTAAATGTTAAAAGGTATTTTCTTACAACTGTATTCATATTTAATAGATACTTTTTCTATCAATTATTTACTTAATTTTTCATAAAAAATAAAATAATAGAGTTGAGATAATAAGATATTAAATAAGAATTTTTAATTTAAATTTACATCTATTAAATATTTCTTAATTAATGTACATCAATCTTGAAAAACTAAAGATTTGGGATAGTAACGTGTATTCAAATATTCCAATTAGCCGAGTTTTCCTAATAGAGAATGTCATTTTGTTCAATAAATAATATTCATTAGTGATGAACTAATAATAAAAAACACTCCAATTAGTCTAGTTCCTATACAGACCATCTTTGGAGGAAATAAAAGAGTTATTATTCTTTGTTTCATTGAAACAACTTATTCATTGTATTTGAAGGTGAAAAATTATCAGCAGAGTAATATGAAAAAAGAAAACATATCCTTTTCTATTTATATTCCAAAAGTAAAAAATAAAAATATTGAAAAAATTATCATTGTAAGATCCGGTTATTTTGAGAATCCGTCTAATTTAAAAATAATTTTAATCTGTAATAATATATAAAGAGATGATAAAACTATGCACAAATCATTAAGACATTTCCTTTCTCATAATTAATTATATCAAATCACTCACTCTTTTATTACAAACTACCTACTATTTTATAACTTTTATTATCATTTTTTATTTTAAATATAGAGTTACCAACACTCTAATATTAAGAAAGATGTTATAAATTTGTATATAGACTATTACTTCAATATAAAAAAACGAATACATAGTTTTATAATAAATTATTTTAAGTAGTGTAAAGCCATTGTCACAAACCGACCTTAGCTCAGTTGGTAGAGCGGAGGACTGTAGTTGGTAACATGCCAAATGGATATCCTTAGGTCGCTGGTTCGAATCCGGCAGGTCGGAATATTTTAATATCAATTTTTCTTTTGGTGCGAAGACTATACATCTTTTATGAGCTATTCGAATAATGTTAGATGGAAAAAATTTAGTTTAACAATTTTCATACTAATATAAATTCTACTATTTGAAAATAAAAAATAATAATTACATTTATTTGTGAAAATATTAGTAATTAATATTGTATGCACTAGTAGAAGAAAAAAAAAAAGACATTTTGTATCTCTTTATAGTTTTACTTTTGAATTGTTTTCAAAGGAGATAATTGATGGGGAAAAAGAAAAAATAATGTGATTTGAGAATAATTAATCCTAGAGATTGGTAAAGCTGAAAGTAACTTAACTAGTTTCACAGTCTTATCAATATCACACATTAAGTCTTTAGATATTGCTATCATTAAAACAGCTCAAGTCATTAACCATCAAATTACACCATAACTTATTAACAATTGCTTTCTATCATAATTCATCATTCCTAAACATTGATATAACTACCTCAAACCATTCATAAGATCAAACACTTAAAGGGTAAAGCTATTCATCATTCTCATTTGCAAATTACATTTTTACAACTTAATTTTTTAAGATATCGTGTGATCCAAACACCTTATCTATCTATTTATCTATCAATATATATATATATATGATATCAAGCTTGATCTTAATTATTTTATAAAGTTAAGACAATTATCTTCAACCTCTAATTCGATCTCAAGAGCTAGTTATGTCATCTACTATTTTTAAAAAATACAAAGTCGCAACGTTTCAGTCTAAATCTAACAGTCTGACTTTTGTTTACTAATTTGATCATAACTTTAGTTTTAAACCTTCTTTTTTGGCGATTCTAATGGAATTTGAAAGATAACATCTAGAACTTAATTCTATCATTTAAGTATACTTGAAAGGCTTACAACATACGCATATTACATTTCGTGCATAAAATATGAAGTTCATCTTTTAACTCAGATAACTTGGTTATTCCTTAACATTTTTATGTGATTTTTTAGTCTAAATTATAGCTTTAAATGTCTACTTTCTAACCTAACATTCGGAACTCAATTTCATTAATCATACATAGAGAAATCAGACAAATACTAAGGTATATTCATACTAGAATTTTCAGAATTAGACACAACTCACATTCGAACTCTCTTCTCTCAATCCAATCGATAAAAATCATGATTAAAACTTAACACTACTATATTATATCATCAAATACTCAAATCCAATATCAATTTCATAATCTAATTACATACTCCTATTAACTACTCACATAATAACCATTTAGGGTTTCATGAGAACTCACAAGCAATCCAAACTTCACAATTACAGATTCAATCATGAAATTGGAGACATATACAACTATACAATATAAAATAGAACAAAACAAAATCATATAGAAGACAAAAAAAAACATATGATGCAATCAATTGGGAAACCTTATTCACACAATATAAGCAACAGAGAAGGGATTATGGGTCAATCCACTATCCAACATGTGACACCCTCTACCCCAGTCATTAATACACAATAAATGTAAACAATAAATTTTTTTCCTTTTTTGAGTAAATAAAATTTGATAACATCTTTCATGGATAAAATAATTGTCTCAAATATCATAAGGTAGAAGATTCACATTCGTAACTCATAAATCATAAAAAGTCAACATGTAAGTATCAAAACTCAAGAAATCATATAAAGGAAAATATAGATTAATCCCAGCAAAGGTGGTAGTGCCTCCTAGTTAGGAATTAATTTATAACTTTCAAATCATGTAATAAAAATAATATACAAAGATGCACATTTTGGTCTTTTATCAAGAACGTTCAAAATTACAAAAGAAAAGAAAACTAAGGCTTTTAAAACAATAATATCCCGCTCTAAGCCTAGCTATGCCCGATGTCACATCCTATCAGAGCACGCCCAACTGAAACCTTAAGCCTCATCACCAACATCCCCATGATGATGATCGCCTGCAACATAATTTAAACATATACAAAAGCAATAAGGGAGTGAGAAACATCTCACTCAGTTTTAGGTGAAGAAATAAAGGTTAGATAGCACACACACACACACAACAAATATAAGTCACATGTAAATAATACACATACATAATCAACAACACATATACACTTATTTATCATGCAATGATGTCATGGACTCGACTCATAAATGCATGCATGTGGCACCATAAGGAAGTTTCACATTTCATCATTGGTGACCCTAAGGTACACCTGGTTACATCACTGGTGACCCTAAGGTACACCTTGTTAGCTTGTTACATCACTGGTGACCCTAAGGTACACCTTGTTAGCATCACCGGTATGCAGCCTCAGCGGCACACCTGGAGTCATATATGTATATGATGCATGTCACACATTCATTATTTCATTGACTCAACATTTGACTTATTACAGAATTTCATTAAGTACATCATGTCATCATTTTTCATGTTCTCATAATCATAACTTGTCTCAATAGTCCATTCTTATGTCTCATGTCATTTGTATACATTTCACATGGTCATGTCATAAATACTCCTCATAAGGTTCGCACAGGAATCCACAGAGAACATTCTTATTCATATTAAAACTCATTTATTTTTAACATTAGTCACATATTCATTTATTACTTCTAACAAGGAACAAGGTAGAGAAAACAGAAAATAAAACAGAATACATTAATACTTTGCATGTTCAAAGAGCATGCCACAGGCAAGGGATTGGGAGCCAATCCGACAATCAAACTACCCAACAATTATTCCCACACCCCCGAGCGAGGTTTCTCACTCCCCCCTTACCTGGATAATTATATGTGTCATTCTAAATTATCCATCTTATTTTGATGATATAATTATATAATAACTACAAATCTTAATTTATAATATGAAAGTCATGCCTTTATCATTACGTGTTATTCTAAATTATCCTTCTTATTTTGATGATATAACTACTTAATAACTACAAATCCTAATTTATAATATAAAAGTTGTAATACCCTGAATTTTCTACTAATACAATGTTGATTATTATTTTTATATAGTTATTTTTGTTAATTAAAGGGGTTTTATAGAAGTTTGTAATAATTTAAATTATTTATGAAAAATTTTATAAAATTCTGTCTTTTACGCCGAAATGGGTTATTCTAAAAGTGGAACGGGCCGTTCCAAAGTAATAAAAAGGCCTATTTGGGTTTTTCTGGAATGGGTTGTTCCCAGAGTGAAACGGGCCGTTCCAAGATTCAAAAATTGCCTAAAAAGTTTAGGTAGAAACTGGCCATTCTAATAATAGTCAATGTGTGTTCACATGGTGTAACAGCCCAAATTTTCGCGGGGCCGTGGGCCCAATTCGTTGCCTGGAACGGGCCGTTTCGAAAGTGAAACGGGCCGTTCCAGAATAAAGAATTTGCCTAAAAAACCTAGTTGAGAACGGGCCGTTCCGGTTAGAGAACGAGCCGTTCTGGTTTGGAGAACGGGTCGTTCTACTGGGTTTTGGAACGGGCCATTCCGGTTTTGGAACGGGCCGTTCCAGTTGAGATTTTTGCTTGGTTCTGGAGGGTCCAGAACGGCCGTTCCACTTTTGGAACGGGCCGTTCCGGATTAGCTGAGGCAGATTCCTATAAATAGGAGGCCTTACCTCTCATTTTCTCACATCTCTCATTCTCTCTTCCTATTCTCTTCTGTTCTTTCTTCTTCCCCTCTTCTTCTCTCTGAAGACCATGGGGCACTTAGAGGAGGAGACCAAGAGATCCCTGTTGTAGTTTCAA